GGCTCCAGGTCCTTTCTATTGACCGGTTCCTGCTGCGAGCTAAGGAGTACACTGAGATTTAGGGACCCAGCACCATCCCTTGGTGCTGCACTAAGAGCCAAGGACGGACACGTTTCCCCGACAGAGAGAGTCGGGGCGCAGGGCAGTGATTCTCAGCCAGGCCCTGCCGCAGCACCCGGGGGTGCCAGCCTGCAGGTCCGCCCGGGGAGGCGTGAGAAGGGGGGGATTCACAAGATGGACCCAGAGACGTAGGCGCGTTAACGTACCGGCTGGCTGGGCCCAGGGGCCCCTGCCTCGGTGTGGACGAAACGGGTGCGCGCGACGTGGGGCTGCTGCACCCAAACTGAGCTGCGGCAGGGTGAGGAGCCACCCCCCAGAGCTTAGGTTCATAGTTGTTAGGGGCTGCAAGGGACCTTACACATCATTGCATCCGGCTGGGTCTGCGCCACGCACCTGGAGGGCAGCGGCTCTGCACCCAGCATAGACTTGCGGGTAGGGCAACCGTGGCTCCTGCCCTGGGCCTGGGGACAGCACGTCCTCTCCAGCCACTGCTCCTGCTGCGTTGGCTGCAGATGGATCTTGCGACTCCAGAGCAAGGCATGGGTCACAGGGGCCAGGGCTGGGGGCCCCAATGAATCTGAATCCACCCCTGACCTGCCCAGAGATTTCAAATAGGGATCCATGGTGTTAAAAGCATTCTGCCCCGCTGTTCTCTTAAGTTCTTTGCAACAGAAGAATTACTCTGTTAATTTTTCTGGAGTCAAAAATCAAGTGAAAACTAAGCCAAGGGGTAAAAAGGTTGTAGGGGAAGCCAGTAAGAGTTAAACTCATGGTTTTTCAGGAAGAAATACGGACTTCCCTCAAATTCTTCACCAGCTGGCAGCGTGGCTCCATCAGCACTGTTGTTAGGACTCAGCCCATGATCACTGTGCTTTTGCTTTATTTCCATTAAGAGGCAGGGCCCTTCTATCCTGGATCCCAGGAGAGAAAAAGCAGGATGAAAGCTCAAAGTTGGATTGATTTGAGTAATGGTAAAGTGTGCTTGTTGTTCCACTGGAAAAAATAATGGACATTGCTTTTTGGCAAAGGATTACTTTAAATCAGGTAGGGAATACATGTGCAAACTCATTTGGAATACGAATGATAGAGAAGATATGTCCAAATATGTCTGTGTAAATCTTCATGTTGATCTGCAGATGATCTGCCACGGACTGCAGATTTGAGCTGCAGCCCATAGCAGCAAAAAGGTTCCTGTGTAGTAGGTACAATCTGGATAAAAAAATTTGCTTATTCCAAACTTTAGATGAAAGGCTGCTGACCCTCTGTAGCTAGCTGCTGTAAATATTGTCAGTGGCTGAAAATCAGACAAATCATAGAGTAGTCAGGGGAAGGAAATTGGAATGGCACTTGGAGAGGAGCTAACTTGTGGCACGCCTGCCGGAAATGTTGGCCTCCCCTGATGAAGGGGATACGCACTTTGTGCTGCAGGTGAAGGAAAGGGGGTGATGCATTTTAAGTGCTGGAACTACCACAAACAAGAACATGCTCAGAACAAGAAAGGCATTAGTAATTGCTTAACTGAGTGATTATCAATTACTTCAGGTAGATGCTTGCTGACTTTTCTTGTGTAGTGGGCTCTATTCTGCAATGAAACCCTCCAGCCAACTCAGTGGTGGTTTCACAAGCTCCTAAGAGAACTAAATTAGTCCTCAGTTGCTTGGATGAATCAGGCTAATATAAGGTGCCCAGGAAAAAGAAGATGAGAGACATCCAAACATTTATTTTTAAAATACATTATTTTTAGGTTAGTAGCCAGGGCCAGATTAACACATAGGCAAACTAGGCACATGCCTAGGGCCCTAAGTGAAGGGGCCCAGTTGTGCTTATTTTACATATTATAATTATTGAGTGAAAAAAGTAATATAAATATACATTATTAAGTAGGGGGCCTACAAGTTTGTTTGCCTAGGGCCTACTAAAGGGTTAATTTGGCCCTGCTAGTAGCATTATTGGGGGGATTGGGGAGGCATGACTGGAGCAGCAGCTTTGGGTGCTGCCTTTTTGGGGG